GCCACTTCAAGCCCGGTCAAGCCGCCCACGACTCAGGGTCGCACCGTCCATGGCAATGGCATGAGCCGAGACCGCACCACCAAGCCGGTCAATGAACCGGCTAAACCTTCGCCAAGGAAACTGGCTAAGGAAACCAACGCCAACATCACTGTTCAGTCATGACTTTGGGTAGTTTAAGTTTGAAGTGAAAAAAAAGTCTTGGATTCCACTGATTTTATATTAAGTGAAGTTGTATTTGTGGTTGTAAACTTGTTAGTATATATATATAATATATCATATTATTAGATAGATAGATAGAGAGATGTAAACGATTTTTGTTCTGATTTCTGCTACACTTGTTTCTTCTTCTCTTCCCTTTCAATTTCCTAGATGCACTCACGTTTATTTGTCTCTTTTGGGACAAAATCAGGTCTTTTACTTTTTCGAAAAGTTTTTCTTTATTTTTTTTTGCTTTTCATTTATAATGATAACTTTATAAAAGAAATGTGAGTGCTAATATTCATCCCAATGGGATTTGGACTCTGTATACTAACTAGATGTAAGATCCATATATTATATGGGTTAATTAAAAAAAATATAATTGTATACTTTGGATTTATAAAAAAATAAGAAAAATAATGAATTATTAAAATTGATTTTTTATCTTTTAAATTTAATTAAATAAACAAAATAAACTAATGAGTTTTAATTTGGGAATTTTGAAATAAAAAGGGAAATCCATTAATGAAATTGATATTTATTTATTATTATATTTATTGTAATTATTGCATTAAAGTATTATGTGAAATATTTTAAAATAGAAAAAACCTATAAAATGATATGTGAAAAAGAAATTAATTTAAAATAATTACAAAGTTACATTTGACAAATTGAATGAAAGTACGACATGTGTAAAAAAAAAACATTCTGTTATTAGAGTAGATTAATTTTTTTTTGTTTCCTGTTCATGGGTCATCCTTAAAAGATTTAAAAGAAGTTCAAAGTCACGCCATGAAAACTTTAAAAAAAGGAAAAATATTAAACAAAAATAATTTGTAAATATGAAAATCGTAAATGTTCTATAATTTTCTTAAATTTTTCCAATGCTTTTTATAATAATATTTGAGAATAATTTTTTAATATTATTTTGAAAAAAAATTATGTGATTGGTTCATGTAGTTTATCAATGCAAAATGGTACAATATAATTATCAAAATCATTAAATGTTTAGTCAGGATTTGCATGGTTCGTGCTGTAGACATATAAAATGATAACTATATCATTTTTAATTTATTTTTATTTAATTTTTAACTAATTTTAATTTAAAAGGTAAATAAAAAACAAAAAAACTCCATCCTCTCCCAACTCCATCCCCAATAACATTCTATTAGATTGTAATATCTATGTCCCTTTTAGGTAATGTTGTCTGTATTCCTTTTAATTTTTTTTGACATTTCTTTGTAGACCTTTTTTTGGGTCTTTAACCCATTTGATTTGATATATTTTGTCATTTTGTTATTTTTTATTGTCTTTTATTTTTATTATTATTATTATTATTATTATTATTATTATTATTGTTGTTGTTGTTGTTTTTGTTGTTGTTGTTTAAAAATAATTGATTTGATTTGATATCTCTTTAACTTTAATTTTAACGTTATTCTTTTTTGTTCAGTTTGTCATTGTGTTATTTTTTTTGTTCGGAATATCCTTGTGTTAATTTTTTTACAAACAATTATATGTGTGTTTGTATATGGGTTTAATTTAAAGGCTATGAAAATTGTCAAAAAATAATAACATTAGATAGTCCAAACGAAAAAAATAAAAAAATAAATAACACATGGATAATCTGAATGAAAAAATACCATAAGGATAGTCCAAACGAATAATAATAATAATAATAATAATAATAATAATAATAATAATAATAATATGTATTTATTAAAAATATTAAAAACAAAACAAATAAAAAAATTAACAAAAAAGACAAAAAAAAAAAAACAAAACAAAAAAACAAAAAAATGCAAAAGGACGAAGAGGGGGGGTGGTTTAAGAAGGGGAATTAGTGGGTGCATACAAAATAATCTTCAACTGTCAACGTCGGACACCTTTCGATTACCGTTATTGCATCATCCTATTGATTACTGCCTCCCTCCTACTGTCAACATTTGTCTTCATCACCATACTCACCGGGAGAGTTCGTTATCATCATCATACCCACTGTCATCGGAAAAAAAAATTGACTGATGCACGTTCATTTGCTCCACCACCACCATCTCCGCCTCAGATATGAAACTCGGGCTTCATTAATCCTAAACGAAACTCTAACCTTCGTTGTCCCGGGGAAATAATTTCAAATCTTTACTTAAACCCTAACTGTGGATGTTTATCGAAACCTTAATTATATGTGGTTTTCGTTTTAGTTAGGGCAGATGTCACAATAACAAAAGAGATCTAGGTGACTATTCTGCATTACCTATTAAGTTATGTAAGGTGTATAGTGGAGTTGAGGTGTATAGTGGAGAGATGACAATGGTGTTATTGAGGCCGAAGCCGGTGGCATTGACTAAAAAGAGATCAGAGATGGCCGGAAAGTTGTCGGCGACAATTACCAAAAAGTGGGTGGTGACTGAAACTAAAGTGATAATCGTTAGGATGCACAAAGTAGTGGCATGTTGAGGAGTTTGGGCCGGCGGTACTGCCGGTTGGAAGATTCAGCCGAAGTATTGGTACTGCAAATAAAGACTTAAACGAGTTGTTGAACCCATCCAAATGTTGTGTGCTTCCCCACTCATTAACAATTGACGGGTTAAAGAGAATAATTTTTTTACATATATATAAAACCATCATAACCTCAATTACATTCCATGTCACTCTATCTCCATTCCATTATACTTTCTCTCAATTCCATTCTATCATTCTTCAACAAAATGAATTCAAACATCCGAAAATAATAATGGAAAGTATCATAGACGATTCATCTTCACCCGATGATGAACCTAACAACTTTAATTTGCTAGCTGCATCATCTCATACTGCACAATTTGTGTTTCAGAATAATGCCGGTTCAAGTAGCATTCATACGAGAAACACAATCCATAGAGAGCGTATAACCTTTTGAAGAGTGAGTAATAAGTTTCAAGATTAAATAGATTTCATCAAATAAGTTTTAAAATGATTAATGAGTTTTGAAAAGATTTTTTTGGAGAATTCATCATAGGTCAATGATTGAGTTAATCCTTGACTATACACATTGGTGAAGCCTAAATATTACTCGCTACGCATTTTCAATGCTTGATCTATGACTTTTTAACATGTATTCAGGTTCTAGGTGTTAGTAGTGATTAAAGATTAGAGGATACGGGATATTTTGAAGATCATTATAGTTGCTCTGGAATGATGTTTCAATTGTTAACTCTCTTCTATGACCTTTTGAAATTCAAACTGTTTTTGTTAAACTTAGGTGCTGTTTTCTTTTTTTAAGTCAAAATGTCTGCAGTCTGCGGACCACATCTGCAAGCCTCTGCGGCAGAAGAGGTGGACCAAATGTCTGCAATCTGCAATAAGAAGACTGTTTGTTTTTAACGTCTGCGGGCCGTTAAAATAAATTGAATTTTTAAACTTAATTTCATGTTATAAACATTAAAAATGTATTTTTAACAAAAAAATGAAAGAAAAAAAAAACTGCACGGTGGCCATGTTTTTTTTTTTTTTTTTTTTTTTTAGGTTAAAATGAGGTCTGAAGACCTTTGAAGACAGTGGCCCATGTTTGCGCCAGGAAGACCTCGCGCAGACGTTTTCTGATCTGCGCACTTCCAAAAAACAAACAATCTGCGAGGGCATATGTCTGCGCGTTGCCTGCGCGGCGCAGACAAAAGTGGTTGCGCAGATCTTCAAACAAAAAACAAACAGCCCCTTAGACTTTTAGAATTGTTTTCCGCAAATGAAGTTCAATTATTTTAAAATGTAATTTAAACGGCTGTTAAACTTAAAACCAAAAAAAGGATGTTTCAATACACCTCTTCCATAGGATTCGTTTAAAAAAACATTTTTTTTTTTTTTTTTTACAAATATAGTAATATACTAACTTATAGCATATATTAATTTCATTTAAATATAAAGCAATTTTTATTTTTACTGTTATAATATATAAGAAAAAAACCAACAAACACAAAGCTACAATGGGGTGAATATTTTCAATATGTAACGCCCTAATTAGAAAAAAAAAATATTGGATGTATAATGTTGTAATAGAAAGAAGTAAAGTAGGATCGGATAATAAACAAAGAAACTAGTGTGACCCCACATTTAACTTTCATTCAATTTTTTAGGTTTGTTATACCTTAATGTAAACCATATAGTATAGAAAAGAAAATACATTTTTAAGTTCAACCTTTAATGGAGATCATTGGGATTAAAAACTGGGAACAGGGTTTGCTTTGACAACAATGCTCTTTCTCATCTGCTATATAGCTTCTTCCTAACGTAGTTGGGCAAATCACCTTGTGTCTTAATTGCTTCCCTATAAAGAAATACAATTTCAAATGCAGAAATGGAAAAGGTAATACAATTCTTATGTGTAACTTTAGGAGTTTAACATCTCATTCTCAAACTCTGACACTGCAAAATGAATGTAAGCAAAAGAAATCTCACTTTTTGCATCTGCCAAGTCATGTCCGGTTTTATCTCCAATAAAGCTCCAAATTTAACACCAACAATGTATATAGGCTACACTACAAAAGCAAGCTCAAAAATATCACATGGGTTCTTGTACGTATAGTATTTGTATTTTCTTTTAATATAATCATATATATTTGGCTGAAAATTAATTGTCATATCAATTTGAAAACTGAAACCAAAGTAAGATAACCAATAGAAAACGGAGAAAAGTACCTGTTATAAATATATATCTTTGTAAATTGGCTTTTTTCCAGGGCTTTGGAGACTCAAAATAATCTTTGGAGAAATACACTGAGAGAAGACTCCTATATTGTGGGTGCCTGTGTAAAAGTTGCCTGCATTATTCACACATCCATATAAAAGAACTCGTCGTATATTGAGGGCTGTATCTCGGATCTTAAATCACATGACTGAAGAAGCTCTCTTGACCCAACAATACGCAGACCTTTCAACAAAAAGATGCTTTGTGGAAGATGACATATGAATGTATGTGTTAAATCTAACATTTTTAAACATTCTAAACGTACAAGTTCCTCAGGCAAGTTCAAAAGTTGAATGCAATAGCAGAGGGAGAGATGTTTTAAACATTCTAATCGCCCAATATCTTCAGGTAACCTCTCAAGCAACGAACAATCACAAAGTTCGAGAGATTCAAGATGTTTCAGTATACAAATGCTATCAGGAAGATGTTTAATCTTTGTAGATGACAAACTTAGCTTCCTTAAACATTCTAATTGGCCAAGATTCTCAGGTAACTTCTCAAGAAACGAACATGAATAAACTTTGAGATATTGTAGATGTTTCAACATACAAATGTTATCGGGAAGATGTTTAATGTTTGTATAAGAAAATTCTAGCTTCTCTAGACATTCTAGCTGGTCAAGATCCTTAGGGACCTCTGGAATACCGCCTTGGAGTTTAAGCTTTCTTATACGTTGCAACCCACAAATGCTTCTTGAAAACGTATCAAGGTTTGTGCAAACACACAGACCTACAGAAATAAGCGTCTCAAGGTTGCTAGTCAATAAACGTTGATCTTCTTTATAACAACATATAAGCTGAAACTTTGGTAAATTATTGTCGGGGTGAAATGGGCATTCATCTACGGACAACATAATCAGGAGTAACTCAGCTAAAGGACCAACCTCAAGTGATTCATCCTCACTACCAGAAGCATCACCCTTACTACAATAAGAATCGTTCTCACTTAAAGTATCATTCTTAATGTCAAACTTAAACTCTAGAAACCGCAAACTACCACTTAAGTCTAAGTAGACAAGGTTTTTTAGATATTCATCGTCCATTTGAAGTTCTACAAGATTGGAACATTCTTTAAGATCTAACGTCTCAAGGTTTGGAGTAAGCTTAAGGTCAAGGTTCCTCAACTTTGAATGACTAATGTTGAGGAATGTGAGCTTTCGACATTCACTAGTCATGTGAAGTTCTTCAAAATCATAACAATGTTTAAGATCTAACGTCTCGAGGTTTGGAGTAAGCTTGAGGTCAAGGCTCCTCAACTTTGAATGACTAATGTTGAGGAATGTGAGCTTTCGACATTCACTAGTCATGTGAAGTTCTTCAAAATCATAACAATGTTTAAGATCTAATGTCTTGAGACTTGGAGTTAGCCCGAGGTCAAGGTTCCTAAACTTTGAACGAGTAATGGAGAGGGATGTGAGCTTTTGACATTCATCGGCCATGTGAAGTTCTTCTAAATCATAACAATATGTAATTTCTAAATATTCCAGTTTGGGAGTTAGCCCAATGTCAAGGGTCCTCAACTTTGAATAACTGAGTTCAAGGGATCTAAGATTTGGAGATTTATCGGGCATGTGAAGTTCTATCAACTCTGAACATCCTTTAAGATCTAATAACTCGAGATTGGGAGTCGATCTAAGGTCAAGGGTCCTCAACATTGACCAACTGAGGTCAACGGTTATGAGCTTTAAACATCCAGGAAGCATGTGAAGTTCTACCAACTCCTCACATCCTTTAAGATTCAAAATCTCAAGATTGGGAGCCGGCCCAAGGTCAATGGTCCTCAACATTGATGAACTGAGGTCAATATTTATGAGTTTTGAGCATCTAGCAAGCATGTGAAGTTTCACCAACTCACGACATCCTCTAAGATTCAACATCTCGATATTTGGAGTAAGCCCAAGATCAAGGTTCCTTAACTTTGAATAGCTGAGGTCAAGGAATTTGAGCTTGTTAAGAGCCTATATCATGAGCACAAAAAATAAGTTGAGTATTAGTGTAATAAAAACACAAAGGATGTATAGTATTCACATGAGGAGGAAAAGAATCGATAATCCATAATTCTACCTTTCTTTCTCCCCCTCCCCAAAGTTGTACAATTTGGCTTTTAACCATCTCGAGTGCAACAAGACTATCTGCTTGAAATTTTTTGGGTAAAGACCTATACGGGTAATCGTTCCAACACAGATACCTCAAAGCATTAGGAAAATTTTTAGACTTCCAATTCTGACGAGAATAATCACTTTTGCTTGCATCAATAAATTGCAGAGACACGTGAAGAAATGTAAGTTCCTTCATCTTTCTAAGACCCTTCATCACCATATCCGGACTGAATTTCTCCATGTAGAATTTTATATATCTTGTTGCTTGAGTACCCTGTAATCCAAAGAAAGATGTATGTCAAAATAAATGAAAATGTGTTAGTTTCAAACTTAGAAATAAACTTGACCCTTACCAATTTATTAGCCAATATATCTTCAATTTCCGAGTTAATCCACAAACGACTATGTTTCTTAGGCTTATCCGGGTGCAAACGACGAACAATATTCCTCCCCATTTCTTCAATATGGTCATGCATACCAAGATACCCATCATCATTAACAGTTATTAGAGATTTTTGCTCAAGAACTCTTAAACCATTTCTAGCATGAAATCCACAACTTTCAAGCGCTTTGATTGCGTTGGCTTTCGACCACCCTTTCAATAAGCATGCAACATTTAGGAATATTTCTTTGTAATCATTCTCTAGACCAATGTAGCTTATCTCCAATATCTCCAAAATTTCTTGAGACGGAATGGTTTTTAGTCTTAAAAGGGCATCCATCCATTCAACCTCATCTTTACCACAAAGAAATGAACCCAAAACTTCAATGGCCAAGGGAAGACCAGAAGCGTAACACACAACTTGTTTTGATAGCTCTTTGTATCCTTGATTTGGAATCACTTTCCCAAATGCATACCTACTGAAGAGGCACATTGCATCCTCATGCGATAACAATTGGACATCATGAATCGACTTTGCTTCATAGGATTCGAGTACTTGCCGATCTCTTGTTGTAATAATGATTATACTTCCCGGCTTAAACCAAGTTGTCTCGCCCGCTAATGCCTTAAGCTGCTCCTTATGATCCACATCATCTAGAACAAGAAGAATCTTTTTACTAGGCATCCTCCTCTTCATCATGCCTATCCCCTCATGAACACTACTTACCCTCATGCCTTTATCATTAAAGACATCAGAAAGGATTTGGTTTTGCAACGAATTCAAAACGGATGGAGAAGCTTTTGATACTTCCCTGAATTTTTCAACGAAGCTTTTACCTTCGAATTGAAAGGATATTTGATCAAAAACAGCTCTAGCTAAAGTTGTCTTCCCACCACCTCCCATTCCTTTGATCCCGATAACACGAACATCATCAAAACCAGTTCCTAAAGATGATAAAACACCATTAATTCGGGTCTCCATGCCTACTAAATTTTCATCGCTCCTGAAATTTATGGATCGTAACTCTAGTGAAATCTGTTCAACAACTTTCTGGATGAATTTAGCTTCATGCCTGTATTTTGAAGAAGACTTAATTAGCTTACTCAATCTCTAGTAACAGTTATTTTACATCTATAACAAAGAAGGTGTAAATGAAGTATTAACATAATTGTATAATCATAATTCATGAAAAACTCAACATGAGAAGCCATGCCCTATCCTTTTACAAATTCAGGGTAAATTCAGATTAAAACGAAAGCAAATTGAAAGAATATCACTGATATATGATGGAAGAATTGTAAAAAACTAAAAATATTATATGGGGAACTAAAGCAATAGAAAAGTTGAAATGTTTTTTTTTGCCTAGGGTTGAATTACTCAAAACAGAAAGTTCATATCTCTTTTGTCAAATTAAGAAAATACTGAAATAGGAAACCGACTTTGGAATAGAAATGATTGGGAATTAATTAGTATCGTTACCGATGGTGGTGTTGTGGAATGTTTACATATTCAATGTTGACCAAGACAAAAATTTGGACAAAATCTTGGGGGAAGAAGGAGAAACCACCAATATCCAAGCAGTATATATCGACCAGAATCACAGAATCATGACATAATACAAAAACATGATGAAATGATTACCCATCGTCAGTGTTCTTCAACACCCATCCAGCCAAATTCGCTGCGTCTGTCATAGCCTTCCTCTATTTCTCAGCAACTTCTTGGTTTTGGTTTTCATGTTTTGAAAAGGCTTCTCCAACTACCCCACTTTGTCTGCGGACTTCCGTCGGTTCCACATCATAGAAGACGGGGTAGGCAGTGTGCTCTTTGGTCTTGTGACATTTCATTATCTTCACAAGCTCATCCAAACACCACGATGAATATGCATAGTTTGTAGAGAAAACGATGATATTGTTGGCTTTTCACAAGCCTGTAACTAAAAATGACAATGCAACAGTAAGCAAAAAAAAAACAGAGCACAGGGAATACTACAAGCTTTAAGCTTTATTCACTCTAAATTGAAAGGTGAGGGTACAACCTCAACGTACAGGGAACAAACTATTTAAAGGCTAAAAATATGCAGATAACCAGCAACTACCTCCACTAGGCTTAAGACTCGGTACTATAGCCCACATGGCTTTTACTTATTCAAATTCTAAAACATGCTAATAACATAATAAACTAAACCAACTTATGACTTCTGAATTATTTTCATCATTTTCCCCTTTAATTCAGAAATCATACCTTTTTGACACCAAGCAGGTCACGCAATTCTTCAAACTTCACTCTTCCAAGTGGTTTTGTCAAGATATCCGCCTTCTGATCCTTGCTCCACACATGCTTTACTGTAATTTCTCCATTTTCTACACACTCACGAATAAAATGAAATCGGATATCTATATGTTTGCTTCTTCCATGAAACACTGGATTTTTCATCAAATTCAGTGAGGACTTGTTGTCCACCAGCAGTTCAACTGGAGGTACCTTTTGACCAGTTATCTCACTTAACAATCTCCTTAACCAGATCCCGTGGCAAGCTGCTAGAGTGGCTGCCATGAATTCTGCCTCACATGAAGAGAGTGCCACACACCTCTGCTTCTGTGAGGCCCATGTGATTAGATTGTTGTTCACATAATAAACCATTCCACCTGTACTTCTTCTGTCATTGATGTCATTTGCTAAATCACTGTCAGTATATCCATAAAGAGTCACATTTTCTTTCCCTTTTGAGTATTTTAAGCCAAAGTCCAAAGTACCCTTCACGTATCTGAGAATACACTTCACAGCTTGGAGGTGTTGAACCATTGGCTTTTCCATAAAACGACTCACAATACCTACTGCGAAAGAAATATTTGGGCGAGTATGAGTTAGATACCTTAGGGCTCCAACTATGCTTCGATACTCAGTGGGGTTCACCAGTTCTCCTTCTTCATTCTTCCGCAGCTTGAGTTTGTGTTCCATAGGGGTTCTTGTGGAATTACACTCCTTCATCCGAGTCTTGGCAAGTAGATTCTTGGCGTATGCTTCTTGTTTCAAAGTAATTCCACCTTCATGCTGGTTAACCTCAATTCCCAAGTAATATGTCAAGAGCCCGAGATCGCTCATTTCAAATTTGGTGTTCATATCTTGTTTGAACACCTGCACATCTTTAGAACAGCTTCCTGTTACAAGAAGATCGTCTACATATACACCCACAATCAAAATGTTCCCTTTTTCTTTCTTCGTGTAGACTGAATACTCATGAGCACATCTTCTGAATCCAAGACTCTTCAAGTGTCGATCTAAACAGGCATTCCAAGCTCTAGGGGCTTGCTTAAGGCCATATAGAGCTTTGGACAGTTTGAGGACTTTGTGGGTTTCACCTTTCTTCTGGAAGCCTTCAGGTTGAGAGACATAAACATCTTCTTCTAGGTCACCGTTTAGGAACGCCGATTTGACATCCAGGTGATGTACTTTCCACCCGTTAGATCCAGCCAAAGCCAAAATAAGCCTGATTGTTTCGATTCTCGCCACCGGTGCAAAGACCTCTTCGAAATCGACTCCATGTCGCTGTACATACCCCTTTGCTACGATTCGTGCCTTGTGCTTCACAATGTTTCCATTTGGGTCCTTTTTTAGCTTAAACACCCACTTCAAACCGATAGGCGTTCGGTTCTTTGGAAGATCGACCAGTTTCCACGTGTGGTTCTTCTCAATTGAAGCCAATTCTTCGTTCATTGCCTTTACCCATTCGATTTTCTTGCTCGCTTCTCTGTATGTTGTAGGCTCTTCATTACTGCACATCAACAAGAGTTCCTCTGGGGGTAGATGAATTTCTTCAGTATTTTCATACAAATCGGCAAGCAACCGATATCGCTTTGGGGCTTCATCTTCAGTTAAGCTATCGGCGGTGCTCAATGAGTTGTGCGAGATGGGTGAAATTGATGTATCCGGTGTTACAGGCGTATTAGTATCATTCAGGTCTGTTGGTGGGCTATTGGGCTGACCTTCTTCGGCCCAGTCTTCATTTTGTTGAACTGACTCAATTTGGTCAGGAGTATCAGGGACCCATTCATTTTCGACTTCCCACTCGCCTTCATCTTCATAGTAGCCATCATCAAAATCAACACCATCAACTGAGAAACTCATTCCCGGTGTTGATTTTGTTTTTTCCCTTTCATTCCAGTCCCACACTTTTTTCTCATCAAACACAACATCACGGCTTACATACATTTTCCCGTTTCTTGGATCTAACAACCTGTACGCTTTTGACCCTTTCTCGATTCCAAGATGAACCAGTCGAATACTTCTGTCTTCTAGTTTCTTTAGATTGCCTTTTGCAACTTTCATATGACCAATGCATCCAAACACCCTAAGATGATCAATGCGAGGCTTTCTCCTTGTCCACATTTCATAGGGAGTAGAGTTCTTTAATGCTTTTGTATGGGCTCTATTTAATACATAAACAGAGTATGCCACTGCCTCACCCCACAAAGCATCAGGCATCTCCATTGATTTCAGATTACATCTCACCATCTCCAGTATAGTTCTATTCCTTCTCTCCACAACCCTATTTTGCTGTGGGGAGTATGGAGCTGTATACTGTCTTTCAAGCCCAGTTTTCTTGCAATAATTTGTGAAGTCATTTGACAAGAACTCTCCACCATGATCAGTCCTAAAAATCTTGACCTTCTCTCCTGTTTCCGTCTATACTTTCTCCCTGAATTCTTTAAATACTTGGAAAGCCTCATCTTTTGTCTTCATCAGATGAACCCACATCACTCTGCTAAAATCATCAACAATTAGCATAAAGTACTTATTTTCGGAAGGAGTGGGAGGCGTAACTGGACCACATAAGTCTCCATATATGAGTTCAAGTTTCTTCTTTGCTCTGAAATTTGTGTGGTGTGGGAATGGATTTCTTGTCTGTTTTCCAATTAAGCAACCCTCACAGGGCTGTGAGGGAATCTTCACAGTCGGCATTCCTTCGACCATTCTCTTCTTGCCCATAAGCTTCATCGAATTGAAATTAATGTGCCCCATTCTCTTGTGCGATAACCATGACTGGTCATCAACCTCAGCAGTTAGACACATGCCTTCGGTTTCCCGTAGCTTTATCTTGTAAAGACGATTTGATGATCTTCTCACCTTCATCAATAGCTTTCCCCTTGAATCTTTGACCCATAAAAATGGATCTTTGATCCTTATTTCATCTCCACCCTCAGCTAGTTGGCCCAAGCTGATTATATTACTACATAGATCAGGAATGTAGTAAACTTCATTCATTCTTCTTTGACTTCCATCTTTACATTTAAATACAACCGAACCTCTTCCTTCGATTCTCACTTTTGACTCATTCCCGAATTTCACGAAACCTTGAATTGTTTCGTTCAAAGTCATGAACTTGGATTTATCACCTGTCATGTGATTACTAGCTCCTGTGTCTAAATACCAGGTTCGAGATTGATTCAGGGAATTACCATGCGAACGTAACTGGGGGCTAAGATTTTCTTCATTTAGATACACCTTTCCTTTATCTTCATATACTGTAAGCAGAAGTGCAGGTTCGTCATCTTGGTGTTCTTTGATTAAGTTGCTTTCATGACTTCGTTCCTTCCTTGGATTTTTGCACTTAGCAGCATAATGGCCAAACTCCTGACAGTTGTAACATTGGATCTCACTTTTATCACGATTTCCCGAAGCGTTTTGACCCCCGTCTTTCTGGTGGTGTGACCCACTCCTGCCACGACCACCACGACCACCGCCGTTTCTTCCTCTGCCCCTGCCACGGCCGCCACGAGAACCTCCGAATCCACCCCGGTTTGATTTTTGTTTTGGATCACCTTCTTGCTTCCTTTTGCTTCTATCGGACCATTCCTTGTGGGTTAACAGAAGCTTTCGATCGTCACTTTCACCCGTACCCTTCATTCGTTCTTCATAGGCCTTGAGTCTTCCGATCACCTCCTCAACGGGCATTGTTTCCAAGTCTCCGAATTGCTCAAGTGTTGAGGCAATTTGAAGAAATTTTGGTGAAACAGCTCTCAGTAGCTTCTTCACTACGTGAGATTCTTCTACTTTATCCCCCAGAGTACGCAAAGTACTCAAAATGTTGACTACTTTTCCCGTGTAGTCATCAATACTCTCCGTCTCTTTCATGCACAATGCTTCGAGCTCAGCCTTCAGTGTTTGGATTCTGGCCACTTTCACTCTATCTGCACCAACAAACATGATTTTAAGAGCTTCCCACGCTTCTTTGGCCGTTTTCTTCTCCGCCAACATCATGAGCAAATCTTCAGGTATTCCCTGATAGATTGCAGCCAAGGCCATGTTATCCTTCTTTGCTTCAACAAGAGTGTTGGCGGTTCTGGGTTCCACTGCATCCCAAACACCTTGAGCCATCATAAAAACTCGCATCTTGATCGCCCATGCCCCATAATTTGTTTTTGACAACATAGGATAATTAAGTGTCACATGCCCGTCTTTGTCACCATTGCCATTGTTGTTGCTGCCCGCCATTTCTTCTTTCCGGGATTGATACTTGGGCATGTACCAGGTTCGCTCTGATACCAAGTGTTGGCTTTTCACAAGCCTGTAACTAAAAATGACAATGCAACAATAAACAAAAAAAAAACAGAGCACAGGGAATACTACAAGCTTTAAGCTTTATTCACTCTAAATTGAAAGGTGAGGGTACAACCTCAACGTACAGGGAACA